TATGTATGTATGTATAGATATGTGTATATATATATATATTATACGTATACATACATAATCGTACATACGAATATGTACATGTAGATGTACGTATATGCATGCATGCCTCACCTTGCCATGGTCTCTCAGCAGGGCGGAGCTCAAGAGATTTCCCAGGTTCATCCAGCGGGTCAACCTCAAGGCCGCTTTGAGGCGGATTTGGGCTGCCTTGGTTGGGACTGTAATGTAGAACACTTGTCCGAAGTGACGGAAAAGACAACGAATCTCCGATGCATCCCGACACAAGGCCGAATACATGCAGGGATGGCGTCTCAATTGGTGGGTCTTGTCAGGGTGTAGTTTCCTGTTTACGGTTTTAGACTTAGGCATTTTTTTCGATTTGAGTTTTTGCATTTTCGGGTTTGGGGTATTGGACTCAGCGGTGTATCTTTAACAGGTTGGATGTCGAGGTTTAGAGCTATTGCCGAAGATTGTTTGGTGATCACCGTGCAGCTGCCATAGCTTGCCAGCTTCACTTCCGACTTCGAAAGCCAGAGCCGCACCAACAGTGTTCCATCTCGTCTATGTCTTTGCCCATACGGAACACAAACCAAATTCAAGACTACCACACAGAGCCGTACTCTCACGGAACAGCAGAGCAATATCGCCAGACCGTGCCATACAAGTACCTATATGAGTTCTCTCCAAAACCCGGCAATCCTGTACAACCACCGGCAAACGTTCAGTTCTGCTTATCATTGCCCAAAAACCAGCCCCACGAAAGACTCAATGGAATCAGATCGCTCGTTGACACCTGATCTCGCTTTGAGCGGTTCCGTGCCCAAATCAAGTCACCTTGGTTGCCGGGAGCGCTAGCAACAACAGAAGTCGCAACAAACCACACGAAGCGCACTTTGCGACCTGCGTGGACCCCCAAGACCCTGCGCAGGTTGAAGATTTCGTCTCAAGTGTCCTCTGCCGTGGGGTTCATGCACAGGCCGGGGACTCCAATGTTCGTTGGTTCCGTTTGAGAGCTGATTGGGTGCAGTCTGAGGGGCACCTTCTGTGAAACCTATACTGATCATTGTTATACTTGTCCAGCAGATGGATTCGTGGTTGATGTGTCGCTCAGGAGCCCAGGCCTCTGACTTTAGTCCCTGGAGCTTGAGATCTTTCTGCAACATGTCGGGGCACAAGCTTGGAGAAGTCTAAAGCAACGCTGGCTATGTGTTACGACCTATCCGATAGGTTGTAGGTTGTAGGGGATTTCGATAAGGTTGCCAGCAGCTTACATGTTCTTTCCGTGCATATGTGGCCCAGCGCCCTAGTTTCAGATGATTGCACTGACGGTATGTTACCGTAAATGATGAGGGTGAGGGTGATGATGGTGATGATGATGATGATGACGATGCTGATGCTGATGAGGATGATGATGATGATTGTGACGACCACGATGATGATGGTCATGTCATGGTCATGGTCCGTCATGGTGCTGACGGTGAGGGTGCTCGTGATGGTTTCGTTGATGATGGCCGGCTGTTTCTCCAGCAGCTGTTGATGATGGCATTGATAGCGGTGATGAGAAACTTTGCAATGAGCGTAATTACTCATGATGATGTTGACGATGATGGTGATGGTCGCTGGGTGTGGTAGAACTGCAGATTCCAATGCCTCTGATATGCCAAGTTGCGATCCCATCATGATCCACCGCGACCTGAAGACGCAGAACCTGGTGCCCCAAGTTTTCGCTGCTGTTGCACCACCTCAGGGTTGGTGAGTTGGTGAGGTTGAGGAAGTCAAGCTTTCACTGAAGAAGAAGCACGACTTGGGACTTTACACAAGAAGGAGCTTGGTACATAATCCGAAGCTTACCCATGCTCAAACGTCTCGGTAAGGCTCTAGGCGAACAAGAGTGTTTAATGGGTTCGAAAGCAGCAGAGACTGACTCAGCCTGAGGACTGACTTAAGGCTTCGCGGTTCGTTGCTCTCTGGACCAAGATGCGACATCCAGTGCTGCACAGATTCCGGAACCCCACCTGGCTCTCTGGGAAAACCTTTCTTCGGCAGCCAAGTCCGGAAGACTTCAACTCCGACGCGCAAACTCAAAGCCTGTGACCCGGGAATGTCGCGTTCACACGAGCAATGCGAAAGCTGCGGCTTGCCCATGCGGCGTTCCGGCACTCTGCCGCTTGTCACTTCTCTTTAGTCATGCCAGCATGAGACGGGTTTAGGTGTGCTAGGCCACCAGCGTTTCAGGCAGGACAGCACATCATGAAGCACAGAGGAGACTAGATATTCATCACCTGTCGTGGCATCGGCCGCGTGAGCTTCTGGTCAGATGATGTAGGGGTCGCTTCCTGTTTCGACAGGAGGCACTAGAGAGGTCCAGCAAGAAGCTCCTGTTCTGAAGAAATTGTTGAAGCCCGGAGAACAGACCCAAACCAGACGGCCTCTCCGACTGTCCGAGGAATCGTGCGGAAGGTCGCTGGGCTCAAAGAGCGGTTGCTCACTGCCTCCCGGGCCTTCGAGGTTGGG